TAATTTAACCGAAACAAAAGATAAAAAAGAGGACAACTTTTAGAGAACAAAAGTAAGCATTTTTTTTTAATTGTAGGTATTAAACACTTGTTTTTAATCTAAGACCAATGATGTTTGAACACTATGCACATTAAGTGTCCAAGTAATGGAAATCGAATTGGCATAAAATTATCTTTGAATTTATAACAAAATTACTCATCAACTAATCTATGTGTTTAGTGGTTATATTATTTTTTTATATTGAAACTGAGTTATCAATTTTCAATTCTTATACGATAAAACGAAAGTAAAATATATCTTAAGTGGAGGGAGTATTATATTAGTATACCCACCATTTCCAATACGAATTTGTTTTAAGGATAAACATTTTAGGTCAGCATTATTTTAATACTTTTATTATTAAGTTTTTAAATTTTTTATAATCAGTACAAAATATTTGCTAATTGTATGGATGATTAATTTCTATTAAAAAATTATAGATTATTTAGTGAAATCTATCTTCATAATCATGCTTTTTTTTAATCTACAAGAATGGAATTCAAGACTTTATTTAAAAGATCAAGTTATAGTACTATTCAATTCAACGACTTGTTGATTTTTAAGTAAATCCTAGTATGATTTTTTTTTTTAATTTTTACAATATATTCTTAATAAATATTTAATATTTTATCATTCTTGTTGATTTTAATTAAATACTTAATATTTGAAAGAAATATTTTATATTATTAATTTTTACAGCATTTTATATTACCTCCTAATTATAAGAAATATGAGACAATTAATAAGATCGGAAAAAATAATTAATATGATTACTTTTAATTAATTCTACCATAAATTTAAGTTTTGTTTAAAATATACAAATTTACTTTAGGTTGTTATATTTAATATTAATGTATGAAGAGTATAAAGGAAATTTTATCCTAATTAACTTTAAAAATTAATAATTATTGCTTGTAATTAAAATAAGAAATAATATTATTTAAGAAGTGTTTAGATGAAACTTATTTTGAATATCAATTGTATAATAAGTCTCACAAACTTTATTATAATAAATTCATCAAATCTTAATTAAATTATTTTCTTAACTAAATGTACTCTTAATTAAAATAATGACAATAATATAAAATAAATTATTTTTCTTTTACACATACACGTATTATTTATGGTGGTGGTCCTGAAAATGAGCTAGTGAGTGACCGCCTAAAGCCTCATTGTTAGGGGCAAAAAAAATAATTATTTAGTGTATATAATATAAAAAATACATAATTGAATTATTAAAAATTTATCAGATAAAATAAATTAATTATGATCAATTAATCAATAATCAATTTTTTTACTACTAAAAAATCTATCAATAATATAAAAAAAATTAATCGATAATATTAAATATAAAGAGAAAAGTATGATATGTTATTTTTTTTGTGTAAAATTTCATAAGTGTCAATATAAAATTATAAATAAGTATTGTCTTTAATTTTTTTTTCATTTTTTTTATATCTAATTTCTTTGATTTTCTTTTTATTTTTTAAATCATGTCCTATTTTATTTTGCTAATTATGAACATTCACCTTTATCCCAAGTTTCTTTGTGATGTATCATTATTATTAATCTATTTTTTTGCATAATGGTCTCTAATGATAACTCATATTCTTGTACATTTGAACAATATGTTTAGTCATTTTTACATAACTTTTGTATATTTACACTTCTAAATTTAAAAATTCAAATCATAAATAATATTTCAATATTTATTAGGATATTATTTTTCACTTTATTAGAAACACCAAAAAAATTCAGAGCAATTGTGATCATTTATGAAAAATAATCAGGTTCTGTATCATGGTGGTCTCCTGTTGTCCGACCTAAAAGACGCCTCGATAAAATGTGATAATATATAGTCTCTTTACATTACTTTGTTTAAGCCTGGAGGACTCTATAACACAGTAGTCTCCAGTTGACCGACCCAAAAGACGCCTTGACGAAATGCTAAGTCCACATACTAAAGTACCTCTCAGACGAATGACAAATGTTGTATATCAAAAAGGTTTCAATTTATATGTATGGGAACTTAGATCAGGACGATTTGCTTATCTCGTGATTCGCAAGATAGGCAAAATAACAACTATAAACACCAAGATTTGCAAGTTCATAATAAAGCATGATTTATAGGATCATAACAAGAAGCATGTGAATTATATATATCTATAATACCACACCATTATATATAGGAAAAATTAGGTCTAAGAAAACAGGTTACACTCATCTAATATCCTATACCTGGTTTACTTATAGGTTCTTTTAATATTATATCACTAAGAATTCTTAAGCGGCAGTCCCCAATGCCAAAACAGGTTTAAATAAGATAAAATAAAACTATTATTATTAACAAAATTTGTTACCATCTTTTTTAACACAATTACATGCTATTAATTGATGTTTAAATTTGAGATGAAGTATTAAATTAAAATAATTCCGTAGCGGTCGGTGGTATCTAAATTTTATTTTTGTGTATTTATTTTTAGCTAAAGTTAATGTGGTGATGATTATGGAGACACAAAGGTCGGTTAGATTGCATGATGCATATTATTCCCATGTGGTTTCTGACGCTATATCCACTCTAAAGCTTCCTCAATAACCTTGGATTTGTAGATATCTATGAAAGTTGAACTCATTCCATTCCTCAACGGTGGTGGGCCATGCAACCCAACACTCCATCTTCACCTCTCACATTTTACACTAACATTAAATTTTGCTCTCTGACGCCAACCCCACCCAATCAACATTCAGTGCATTTTTAAACGTCATATTAGTCTATACACAACGATATATAACCAAATCTCATAGGTTAGAAATGATGTAATACAAATTCACTTTTTACATAATATTATTAAAAGTATAAATAAAAAAAGTAATTTATAGTGTATTGAAAACTCAACATAATATTTATTTTGAGATTTATTTTATTCTTTTTTAACATTTATTATGAAATAATGGAAGAAATATTATATATACATAAACATAAACTAGTGAACTTAATTGCATATGCATAGTTCTCTCCTATATAAATACCTACGCTACCTTTATCTTCGATATCAAATGGTGAATATCGTCAACCATTCTTTAAAAGAATCTTGGTTTTTTTTGTTTTCCTCTTAGATCAGTTGAGTGCATGTCTCACAAATTTTAACGCAGGTGTGGCTAACATTTCGCCAGGCACATCCATTCTATTTTCAGCTTTGTGTATCTTTCTTTTTCTGGTTCCATTTAATGCAAGGAATTAACGTTACTTTTATTATCAGTCTATTTTCTTCGTCTCTTGAGTCTTGAAAGTTGCCAAAACTTGAAGTTGAATGATAGATGATGGGTACTCATAAATTTTACTATTATTGTTATATATGGCATGCACCCGAGAAAAAGTTTATGATTTTACTAAAAGAAGTAATAAAATGAATTTTTATGCTAGAACTTACAACACGATATATTAATAATATTAAATACTATTGCTTTAATATTTTTTTAATTTTAATTATGTAACCATTGTCTTTAGAGCAATGCTTCTCAGCATAACTACATGGTGTTCGATTATATTGGAGAGAGAGGTATTTTTTATCACATAAGTAAGTCAATGATAAGAGATCTATCTCATGATCAAAATTAATGCATACCTAGTGTTATTTAATAGTAGTACATTAATACATGTCTATCTATATTAGATCGAATGTAGTGAAGAAGGGTAAATTTTTCAAGCGTAGAATAATATATATATATAT